CGACCCTCTAGTTTTAATTTACCAATCGCATACGCCTGAATAACGTTTCAGAAAATATTTCCAAGATTAAAGAGCTCTTCAGAAGATTAAAGATTAAAGAGCTCCTCAGTTCTCTTCTTGTAAACAAAGTTTCCAAGAAGAAAACTGAAGAAGACTGAGGAGCTCTTTAAACCTCTACAGTAATTCAGTGAAATTAGTTTTTTTTAGAAAAGCGGCTATCACCGAAGCGAGAAACAGCCAAAGAATTGCATTCGACACAGTTTATCACTCCGGAAAAGAATTTACCGTTTTACCAGCATGGTGACGTTGCGTTTGTGGAACTTCCAGCTGACTACGATTTGCGAACTGGCAAGGTGAATGCAACGCGTTCATATTCGAATGCAAAGGTAATTTAAAATTTTTACTACAAAACCGATACGAAGGCTGGGATATTGTCGAAAATTTTTTGAGTTTTCGGCCTGACAATCATTAGAGTACAAAAGCTTAATTACTATTGATTGTGGTGAACGGTCCTGGACTCACCGGGTGCATCACGTATGGGCCGAGTACAGCTGCGCTCGGTCTTCTCATCTGGGCCTGTTGCTTGCCCTTAACGGCGGTCTAGCCGTTTATTTCCATCTCGGAAGTTGTCATTGCAATTGTCTTCATTTGCTGTGAACCACTGTGTAAGTGCACAAAACAAGAAGCGGGTCTCGATCACCGTATTTTAAATTTCTCATGAGTGCTGTTGTGTCATCTGGCTAACTGCTACGGATTTTTTATGTAGTAACGAAGCGACACTCAACACATCCCTTCCTCCACTTGGTCTCTTATGCTATCCGATGAGCGTCCGTTTCTTCAAAAACCACGTCTCATACTTCTAACGCGAAGGCACAGAAGAACCGTTCCGTTCCCACAGTTAACGTAAACATTAAATTTTGGGGCAGACAGAAGGAAGACTTTTGTTTGGAAAATGCACAGATAGGAAAAATATTCAGCTTCTTGTTTTAGACCGAACATACGTCCGGCTTGTTGAAGTTTGTACGTAAAGCGAGTCAAGCGGTAACGAGTCGTGAGCCGTCGTCGTCGTCCGATGGCGCGGGCCCGTGTTCCTCCCAGCAGCACTCGGCAGGGCACAGTTACTCGCAGTCAGTATCCTCTCGAGATTACGCCGACAGAACAAGGTTCATAAGTGCTATTTTCCTATTGAATTTGCACAATTTATCAAGTTGTTTGACTGTTGCGCGCATCTTCGTCCCACAGAAAATGTTGGGCTCCATTGTCAGTTACTGAGTTTAGACTAGCTTCTCATCATTCACTTAAAAACAGTGATGCTAACGCTGACTTGCTAGCCACTGTCCACTAAGTGCACATGAGCTTTTCTTTTGTTGTAATGAAATCCATCATATGTTCGGTTTTATTGGTCCACTGTTAGGTCACTCTCCCTATTGTAAACGAGATAACTGGCCTGTAGAAGGATTTTATGGATTTTAATCAAAATGGCGACTTAGCAAAATAAAATACACTGCTTCTTACGGAATGACGTTGAGTGATGCCTGATTCATTCAACTAGGGCTTTTCGAGAAATATTTCTCACCACTTCTTTACTC